TCACACTTGGGTCAACTCAAATTCAGCAAATCTGCCAAACCAACTTAATAATGCATGAAATTGTTTTCTATCGCTATCTAAACGTAAACAAACTATGTGTATAAAGAGAAAGCAGACCCACAATGAGAATTACCATGGCAATCTCGCAGTTCAAAATCAGCACCACAACTGATAAGGAGATCTGCTATTTCCGCGTCGCCTTTCTCGCAACTGATCATCAACGCCGACCTGGAAGAGGATAATATGGGGGAACGTCTGAGCTAGCGGTAAAAATAAGTCGGTCCCTAAAATGCGCGTTACATTCCCGACTCGAAAAGTTATGTTATTTCTGGCCTACATATACTAAGAGTGCTTTCTAAGACGAATAATGAAGGGTGAAAATGAACTTAGGTGCAAGGAAACGTACTTTTTGGTGTTGGTAATGCAGTCAATCTCAGCGCCTTCCGAGAGGAGAAAGTTTACCATGACAACATTTTGGTTTTCGACGGCCATATGTAGGGGAGTCATACCTTGCTAAAATATGAGGATTGACTATAAGTTAGGAATATATTAACGATGTGTGAAGTAATGGCATAGTTCAACCTACTGGAGGATTGGATGACCGGACTACCCACTCTTTGAATGTGCCAACTAGAGTCAGATAGTGCCGAAATTCTGTTTGCACTCAAATAGGGCATATATGAATATGGCAATATTGTTGGATAAGAACCACTGTACACAAAAGCATTTCAATCGCACTTGACATGCAACTTATGCTAACAACCAAAAACAAAGTAGAGCCTAGTTAACCACGGTGTATCGTCAAACACTGTTCTTAGTGCAAAGTCAGAATATAAATTCCGATCTCAAAAACGTCGACTAGTCTGGATAGCGTAAAGGCAATTATGGGGACGAATGAATGAAAATATCGCATTTATTAACTGTTCATCTTAAAAAATAAAGCGCTAATAATCATCAAAATGGGAGGATGTGACTCACACTATTATGCGAATTAATGCCAACACCAGCTTTCAGGAATAATTCGGCGATATCCCTGTACCCATATTTCACAGCAAGATGAAGTGGAGCATTTCCATCTTCATCTCTAACGGTAAGATCCGCTCGGTAGTTGAGCAAAAGGTCAATGCATTCCGAATGACCACCCTGGATTGCTTTCATCAAAGGAGTTTGAAAATTTTGGTCCAAAAGATTGACTTTGGCATTATATTCCAAAAGACACTGGATAATTTCAATATTTCCTTTTGCGCAAGCCAAGTGTAACGGTGTTCTGAAAGTGATTAAGCTGACTATACATACCTGTTTTCTTTATCAGGTACCATGGGCTCCTTCATAACCAACCGTTTTACCGCTTCCAAATCACCTTGCCACACGGCCTTATGTAACCTCGGCAGATCTTTTTCTTTAAGCTCATAACAGGCAACAGATTTCCTAGCAGAAGACACTGCATGGCTCTCCGAACTCTTTTCACTTTTATTTTTCGGTTGACTTAAGCGTTTCAGAAACTTTTTCATGTCGCTAACGTAAATTATAGCAAAAAGCGGCACACTTTCCCGCTCTTGAAAATTATTCGTCCGGTCAAGGTCACTTTTGGTTTCCGTTAGGTGAAAACCTTGAATACATGCAGGTTCACTTATTCCTCAGAATCAGGTTACTCTTTGTTAGGATATAGTTATTTGTAGGCCTCAGAATGACATACATTTGAGAACTCTAATTGGCCATTCGTTCCAATGGATTTGCAAAGGCTTAGGCACTACAGGTCAGTGTACACAAGAATACATACGGACAATTAAAATTCATTTTGATATTGTTCTTGATACGGACATAAAAGCTAAATCAGTGAAAATATGGAAGTAAAAGCCGAATGCAGCCAAATTTAGTGATATTCAGTAAAATAATGTGCAATAATGATATACGCTATGAAAGGTGGCGCAGACACCAGAGTACTCTGTATGGTAATTCAATAAAAATCATAAAATATCATAGCCTTCGTAATTCAAACGCACTTGTTTTCGGTACTCGGTGGAACCTGCAGAGGCGGGGGCCGCTCTGGCTGGAGTTGGCCAGTGGACTACGATCACTGAATACGTTATATATGAATCTTTTCTCTCACGAACGCAGACTTGAAGCACTTAAATTTTTTCCTCTCGAGTACAGGCAGAGCCGAGATAATCTCATACAGGCATACCGGCTCGGAATCGGTCTGAGCCCACATTTTGATGACTTCTTAGCATTCGCCATGTCAACTAACCTGAGTAGGAATTCCCTCAAACTTTGAGGAACCTTATCTCATCTAGATGTCCGTATCCATACTTTTCAGTGAGTCGTCGGTGCCTGGACGGGAATGCTCGAGGTGGTCATAGTGGCGAACACAACAGGCGCATTTAGACACAATTCTGATATATATTTACTTAATAGATTTATTTATTTCATTTATGTATTAGTTACCAGTTTAAAGGCAATTTAAAAAATTGGGTTAACTGTTAAATAACCTCTTGGGCGCCTTCCAAAGGCTCGAAGACAGGAAAAAGCCAATAACACATTCCCTCTTGTGCGGTCAATATTGGTTTTCTGTTATTTTTGTGCTTGGTCAATGGTTGGCGAAATAGGGAGTTTGTTCAAGAAAAAAAATCTGACTTTACAGGTATGATAATAACGAAAGATATGTACAGGTATCGATAGAAATGATGGTTTATCAGAAAAAAACTGTAGCTCGTTGAGTGCCTCTAGGTCGGTTCGGTGAGGGTTGACACAGGACCATAGTGTTCTCAGTCTTCTTTGAGTGTAACGCTTTCGAGATTCTGCACCAGCGCAATGTGTGTTGGTTAAAAGTGGCTCGCTGTCGGCTGAGGAATTAGCTGATTGCGGGCCGCAGATTCGGCAACATTATCCTCAGCATGAGGCCTGACAGGCTTCTATGTCTACTAGCTCCATCAGAGTGAGAAAGAGATTCCACCGAGTCAGTACCCACAGTTCGTGAGATTTCCTGAATGTAGAAAACTAGTGATAGCTCTCTTTTGAACAAATGATAGCTTTGCTAAGTTTGAATACTTCTGGGCAAATTATTCCAGATTGCTATGGCATTTACTGAAATAAATACGGTATTTAACTGTGCGTGCCATAGGAAGACATAAAAACACATCTCGATGACAGGCGCGCCGAGCGAGGTCAAGCTGCCCTGCGGTACTTAGGGAATTAAAGGTACGGCCGTTTAAAGTTTAAACAGTAAAAATAGTCCATTGTGTAATCCGCGATTAATAAGTTCAAAACGTTGTTGGTAGAACAGGTTGCGGTGTTCTGAAGAGAAAATTCCTTTCGTGAAGAAGTGCTGGCCCTATTCTATCTTCTTCGGTTCACTAACGCGCAGAAGACGACCTAGGGGAGAGCAGTATTGGCGACTAGATCTCACTTAAATTAACATATTTTTAACATTTCTGAGAATAAATCTGATGGTTGGGTGTGCTTTCAAGACAGTCAAGGCACAGTGCTCTGACAGATTAAAACTATTAGAATAGGATCTACTCAGATCCTTTATAACTCCTGGTACATGTAGTTCGTGACCGTCTATGCTTATTTCAAGCTGATGATCGTCGCCAACAACCCTAGCGGAACATTTGTGCCAAGAAAGGGATAGGCGCCATGTGCAGCGCAACTGGCAAAGGCCTTAAGATCCTTTTTTATCAGCTCGAGTACGATTTTGAGATCTGCTGGTTTATATTGATAAGCGACTTTTAAATCGTCAGCGTCCACAAATGGTCTACCATACTGAAAGCAATCAATAACATCGTTGACAAAACGACAAAATAAGGGCGGCCCAAGTACGCCACCCTGAATAACTCCACTCCTCACCTGTGTGATGTTGGAGATGACACTAGAACTTTTGACTCGTTGTGTGCGAGCATCCAAATAGTAAGATATTAAGTTCAGAAAATTATTACCTGTGCCGAAAGAGGCAAGTATCAGAAGGAGATGATTATGCTCAACACGATCAAAAAACTTAGTGAGATCAAAATAGACCGTATAAAGGGCAAAACCACTCCCTCTAGATTGTAGCGCATAATCAAAGAAACAGACCTGGCGTGTGTCACAATATCTCTTTTTGAGGAAGCCATACTGAACTGCCTTTAATTAGTTGTTCTCTGTCAGATGACGCATTATCCTTTCTTTGATCACGGTCTCTAAGATATTCGAGGCTGCCGGAAGTCTATTGATTGGCCTAAAGTCGTCAAAAGACGTCAATCGGTCGTGCTTGAGAATGGGCAGTATATGCGATTCCTTCCATAACATAGGAGGGGTTTTGCTTTCAAGAGCAAGATTAAATATCTTACACAGTATAGACAGAAAAATATCATTCGCTTAAGCCTTTAGAAAGCTGATTGAGATGCCATCTGGTCCTGGGCTATGAGATAGACAAAAA